CGTGTGTTCAAGGTTGTCATGAAAGGACTGCCCAGTGGTGAATCCCTGGATCAGATCAAAGATGAACTGGCAAAATTACTTGGAGTTGTGCCACTCCAAGTAATCAAAATGAAAATGAAATCCCGTCCTGGCGATTCGCGCAACGGGATTTCTAATGATTTTTATTTAGTTCACTTCAAGTCTAGTGAACTAAACAATCTTAAGGCCTTAGAAAAAGCTAGCCTTATGCTCCATGTCCGAGTGAAGTGGGAACACTTCAGGAAGACTGGAGGAAATTTCCAAAACCTCACCCAGTGCCGTAAGTGCCAGGGATGGGGTCACGGAACTAAAAATTGCTACATGCCAGCTAAATGCATGAATTGTGGTGATTCCTCTCACGCAAAGGACGACTGTCCTGTGAAGGAAGATCCTAAGAAATTTAAATGTTCAAATTGTGGTGAAAACCACAAATCCAATTTTTGGGAATGTAAGACTCGCAAAGCGATCCTACAATCTCGTTCTAACCGTCAGGTAGGAAACACTCCACGTTTCCGACCAGGTACAAATTCCTCTGCTGTTAACAACGGTCAGCGAGGAACAAATTCTACATTCGTACCCGTAGGTACAAATATCTCCCCTGCTTCAAATGTTTCATCTGTACCTACTCCCCTCGCTGCTAACAATGTTCAGCGAGTTAATGGAGCTACCTATGCTGCTATTGCAGCGGGTAGAAATCAAAATACTAACCAACGTTCTAACGGAAATTTTGACCATTTTGACTTAGGAAGCATTACTGCCCCCAAAATGGAATTTTTACAGAATTCATTAATTGACATGATTTCTGATATGCTTAAATCTAACTCCATGTTTGATGCTATTCAAACTGGAGTAAAATTTGCAAATAATATTGTCATGACTTTAAAATTCAGTAATGGATTTTAAAGCATTAAATATTGTAAATTGGAATGCTCGATCTCTTAAAGATAATGAAGACGAGCTTTTTAACTTTTTGAGAGTTCATAACGTGCATATTGCCGTTATAACTGAAACGTTCCTTAAACCTGCCCATAAGGTTAAGAAGGACGCAAATTACTTGATTTATAGAAATGATCGTCTTGATGGACCCTGTGGTGGCGTTGCCATCATTATTCATAGACGAATCAAACATAAAATTCTTTCTTCATTTGAAACCAAAGTTTTTGAAACTTTGGGAGTTTCTGTTGAAACAAAATTTGGACAACTTACGTTTATAGCTGCCTATTTGCCATTCCAATGCGTAGGCCAGCAAAAGAATTTTCTCAAGGGTGACCTCCAGAAACTTACCCGTCATAGGTCTAAATTCTTCATTATTGGTGATTTTAATGCAAAACACCGCTCATGGAATAATGTTCAAAGCAATTCCAATGGTAATATTCTGTTTGATGATTGTTCTGCAGGTTATTACACTATTCAATATCCAAACAGCCCAACATGCTTTTCTTCTGCAAGAAATCCCTCCACTATTGATTTGGTCTTAACTGATTCATGTCAACTTTGTAGCCAATTGGTTACCCATGCTGACTTCGGTTCTGATCACCTTCCAGTAACTTTTGAAATATCCCAAGAAATAATTTCTAATCCCAACAGCTCTACTTTCAATTACCATAGAGCTAATTGGGAGCGGTATCGAACATTTATGGAATATAACTTCGATCCAAACATTCCTTTGCAAACCAAAGATGAAATTAATTATGCTCTTGAATCTCTGACTACTTCTATAGTTGAAGCAAGAGCTGCCTCAGTACCAAAATGCGAGGTTAAATTCGATTCAATTATAATAGACGATGATCTTCAGCTCTTGATCCGTCTTAAAAATGTCCGTAGGAGACAATATCAAAGAACACGCGATCCTGCCATGAAAGTTATCTGGCGGGATTTGCAAAAACAAATTAAAAAGCGATTCTCTGCCCTGAGGAACAAAACTTTTGAAAATAATATTTCTAAATTAGACCCGAGTTCCAAACCCTTTTGGAAACTCACAAAAATTTTGAAAAAACCTCAAAAGCCTATTCCAGCGCTTAAAGAAGGTGGTAAAATTTTGATCACAAATTTGGAAAAAGCTCAGAAACTTGCTAAGCAATTCGAGAGTTCCCATAATTTCAGTTTGGGTCTTACTAGTCCTATTGAGGATCAGGTTGCTCGGGATTTTCTGAATATTTTCTCTCGGGAAAATATTTTTGATGATTCCTGGGGGACTGATTTGGACGAAGTAAGGTCTATAACTAAAAATTTTCAAAATATGAAAGCTCCAGGTGATGATGGAATTTTCTATATCCTCATCAAAAAACTCCCAGAGAGTACCTTGTCTTTCTTGGTAAAATTATTTAACAGATGTTTCCATTTGGCATACTTTCCTGATAAATGGAAAAATGCAAAAGTTGTTCCAATTTTGAAGCCGGATAAAAATCCAGCTGAAGCTTCTAGCTACCGTCCAATAAGTTTGCTTTCTTCAATAAGTAAACTTTTTGAAAAGATAATTTTGAATAGAATGATGCTTCACATCAATACGAACTCAATTTTTGCAGATGAGCAGTTTGGATTTCGCCATGGGCATTCAACTACTCATCAACTCTTAAGAGTTACCAATTTAATTCGTTCAAACAAATCTGAAGGCCACTCAACTGGAGTTGCTCTTCTAGACATAGAAAAAGCATTCGACAGTGTTTGGCATGAAGGTTTGATTGCTAAATTGAAAAAGTTTAATTTTCCACTTTATATTATGAAATTAGTTCAAAATTATTTAACTGACAGAACTCTTCAAGTAAATTATCAAAATTCCAAATCTAATCGACTACCTGTTAGGGCAGGAGTTCCTCAGGGTAGCATTCTTGGGCCTATATTGTATAACATTTTCACTTCGGACCTCCCTGATTTGCCTCAGGGTTGCCACAAATCTTTGTTCGCTGATGACACAGGCATTTCCGCTAAAGGAAGAAGTCTTCGTGTTATTTGCAGCAGACTGCAGAAAAGTTTAGATATTTTCTCTTCTTATTTACAAAAATGGAAGATTTCTCCCAACGCTTCCAAAACTCAACTTATAATATTTCCACATAAGCCTAGAGCTTCGTTTTTGAAACCTAGTAGTAGTCACAATGTCACTATGAACGGAGTTCCAATTTCCTGGTCAAACCAAGTGAAATATCTTGGATTAATACTTGACCAAAAATTAACTTTTAAAGATCACATTGAGGGCATTCAAGCCAAATGTAACAAATATATAAAATGTTTGTATCCTCTTATAAACAGGAAATCCAAACTTTGCCTGACGAATAAACTTCTAATATTTAAACAAGTTTTTAGACCGGCCATGCTTTACGCTGTGCCAATATGGTCTAGTTGCTGCACTACCAGGAAAAAAGCACTTCAAAGGATTCAGAACAAAATTCTGAAAATGATTTTGAAGTTGCCTCCCTGGTACAGTACAACCGAAGTACATAGAATTTCGAATGTTGAGACTTTAGCACAAATGTCCAACAAAATAATTAATAATTTCAGGCAAAAATCGTTGCAATCCTCAATTGCAACGATTAATTCCCTTTATACTTAGATAAGATTTAGTTTTAGTTTTTAGTTTTAAAATATCAATTGTTATACTGACATGCAGGTTAAAAAACCTGTTTAAAATACTGAATTGCCAAGACATGAACAATGTAAAAACACTTAGATATATATCATAACAATTAAGGCTGGTACGTTACTGCAGTAACTGGAGCACCTAGGTTAAAATGAAATGTAATTTATTTTGAATTTGGAACAAATAAAGAGTTAAAAAAAAAAAAAAAAATAAAAAAAAAAAAAAAAAAAAAAATCGAGAGAAGAAATTGTTTACAAAAGCTGTTACGTCTTATTCCAGCTCTATCTAGATAGGTTTAAATCTAACATACCATGTACTTTAAGGCGACATTGGGGGTGTGATTTCAAAAACCAAAGTCGGTCGTGGCTTGAAAGTGGTCTTATTTTGATCCAGAGATGATGAATTTTAATTCTTAATATGCCAATCGATAGGATTTTTTCTACGAATCCGTTAAAATTAAGACCACTATTGAAAATTGCACGGATGCGCAACTGTTGCTATGAAAATCAAAATTATCACCGATTGCCTGCGAAAAGCGATTTCCCTAACACAGATTTCAAATTTGAATTCCATCCGGTCTCACCAAACGGTGTTTATTCAGTCACCGCGTGGTGAGTGGTGGTGTTCTCCAGTACACAAGCGAGCTGCAACCCGCATTAGCATCCATAGAAGGAGGAAGAAGCCGCACAGCTATTGATCGGAATCAGTAGCTCTTCGTGAGTTGCTGTGGGCCATCTATGTCAAGCGCGTCTTACTAAAGAGTATAGACAGAGAGAACCCCGCTCAAATTCCTTTTCCTACACAAAACACAAGCTCCTGCTGCAGTTGACAAATAATATTTATTATTTAAAAGTTTTACGTCACCATTGCGTACAACCCCATAGGGCTGTCCCTTGTAGTTTTTTTTTTAATTTAGGAATTTCAAGTTTTCAAATTTTTATGATTAATAAAATCAAAACCAACGATTTTTTTTAAGATTTATTGACGTAGAGTGCGGACAGCAAACTATGCTGACCCTTGGTTTATTCAGACATAACACCATTATTTCAAATTGCCTTATTACTTCCAACAATTCACTGGGTACCTTAACGAAAGTTAGTTTATAAAATTGGTTTATCAATTCAACTAAACTCACCAAATAATACACTGAACATGCATTTGATGCTATAATGCTATCCGGTGTATCTCTACTTGGTAGCCATCCCATCCATTCCCATCGAGAGTGATTGTTTACGTAAATAAACAACTCCTAGCAACACAAAACATCTAGTCTCATGATTGAAGTGTAAGTTGATTAAAAGAAAATATCAAAATATTTGCTTACAAAACGAGTTATATACAATATAAGTTTTGCGAAACTAGTACAAAGTAGTACGAGTTCAAAGTTAACAACAAAACAAATCCTTACTTTTCTCAGTGCGCCCGGACCGTGGTCAATTTCCAGTAGAATCCACTCGTCTCCTGGATTATAATTTCCGCACTTAGGCTGTTATTATTTTCGTTACCATCGATGCCCTCTCACTGAATGGCTATTTCACACACAAACCGACATTTACGTTAACGTTGTCGTTGCTGCTGCTGCTGCTGTTCTGCTTTTGCTGTTGATGTAGTTCTCTTAGGACCTACGTCTTCACTGCGACGAATGCACCTCTTACTATAAGCACACACTCTTTCGCTTCGCATCCAGAATCATCCAACCAAGACCACCGACTTCTGTCGTCGTTGCACAGCGATCAAGATGAAGCAAGATCACTGTACCGTGGATTGCATTCTCGATTCCGACGATTCATCCAATGTCGTCGTCGTCGTCGTCGTCACCACGATCAATCGGATATTCCGAACGGTTGCATAAAAATACCTGATCATGCATCCACGCACTTTCCGATGTCGAATTGGAAACCACACATACAGACACGAAAAATCAAACTTCCGAAGATTGTTTCGCTACACTTCTTTTGCTCGAATTAAGGAATTATCTCTTCTGTTTTCACTTCTATTTTTTGGTGGATTTTTCTGTTATTATTCGCAAAGCCGATCTTTGCCGGGTGGTGATTTTTCAATGAATCAAAAAAAAAAACACTCGAACAGTAAAGACACACAAGTTTCCTCTTCCGCCTGCTTAAAAATTCACTTGACTACACGCTGTTCGTTAATTTGCAACTGAACACCAACCACAAAAACACAACATACACCTTCGAAACGTTTCACTTTTCAGGTGGACACATCAGAAAAAAAGAAAACCTGAACCCGACACTTTCACGCCATAAAACAAAACTGTTCTTCGATCTTTACTCCCGGGGGTAAGAGTTCTCGTTTGGGATCACATCGAAATATCCCGAACAGTCATCTATCTGGAGCACTGGAAACAGCCCGAACGGCGAAAACAAACTGAGAACTTTACTATCGTTGCCAATTGAAGCAAACAACATAAAGAACTCCCACGACAACTGGGCACCTCGACAAACCGAACAACCGACAGTCGAGACAGACTACGGAGACACCTCCTGCGCGGTTCCGTACATGAATTCGAATGAAATCGTATATTTAGTTTCTTCTTTTCTCTGGCCTGCATTCCACAGAAAAGCGCTTTCTGTTTAGTTGCTGCAAAGCGCACAACAGTGTTTGTACAATCGATCCGCAACCTCACCAACGAACGACGTCGTCGTCGGAGAGCTGAGGTGTTGATGTTCGCAAACCCCCATATACCTACCATAGGAGCCACCACAAACAGAAACATTCTCACCTGAGCACTACTGCTATACTTACCTAGAGAGAGAGCATGAAGCGAACCTCGAAGCCAACACTACCACTGCTAAAGGAAAAAAGGTTCGAGGAGCCTTCATGAACATGAAAGCTTAGGCTGAACATGCGCTTGTGTGGTGGAGCTTTCGGCTGCTTTGGCGATGGGTGGTGCAATCGAGCTACCTGCCTGAGGTGCGTGCGGTGTGATCGAGCAGTTTGTATAGTTCCGTTGCCGTGGTTACCACGTGGTCGTCACCAAGATGTTAGTGCTGGTCAAATATTGTACATTTATAAAACGAGAACCGATTCAACGAGGCGCACTTTTAGCTCTCAGAACCCCACGGGTGCAAAGTCCGTGACGACGCTGATTTCCATACAAGCAGGTGGACACAAATATTTCCATATTTTTTTTCGAATTTTCTGGAATTTTCCTTGCTTGGTTCGATCAAAATACGATGTAAGTAAATATTTTTCATTATTTCGCGATCAACTTTTAAAACTTGTTGTTATTTTAAATTCAATGATAATATTTTGAATTCGGTTACAGCTTCAAGCTTGAATTCAACGAATAAAATCTTGGAGATAATTCGAACCAAGATAATAGACAATTGGTTTTATACAGGGTACACCGTACACCGTAGAAAAAAGTAAAGTAGAAGGGTCTGTGCCTAGGAGCACGAACGGAAGCTTGACGTAGGACCACTAGTAGACGGAACAAATGTGAACATTTAGTTCTTTTAATTGATCAATCAGTGATCAATTAACAGTGAGCATGCATAAGGGCGTAAACGCGATGATCGATTCTCTTCGTCGATTTTCTCTTTTGTTAATAACTCGCTAGAATTAACGTTTTTCGGTGCGTTTGCTGTTGCTTTTGATAGCCAATACAACCTGTTACAACTCTGCATTGAACAAAGTCTAGAAAATATTTTCGCTTAGCTGTAGCAATGCAAAGAGAAAATCGATGAAGAGAATCGATCAATTATCTTAACTCAAGCTGAACATTGCATTAGGTCCTAAGTAGCATTGATCGATTCTCTTCGTCGACTTTCTCTTTCGTTAATAATTTGAGCACATAACCGTTTCAAGTTGAATTTGTCATATTGGATGCTAGATAAAAGATTCTTTTATCGATCTGTGTGCTGAAAATACCTGGGAATGTCTTTACTTGGCCGTGGGGATACAAAGAAAAAGTCGACGAAGAGAATCTGTCAATGTTACTTAGGACCTAATGCAATGTTCAGCTTGAACTCTTTCCGTTTTTTATTTGTAAGAGTATCAAATTTGTAGTATTTATTTCAAAGAGAAAGTTGATTAAGAGAATCCAAGGGACTGTCAACTTGAGTATTTTCGATTTATCTACCCGACTTTAAAATGTGTATTTTTATTTTTTTGTTATTTATTAATTTTTAAGTTTTGTGCATTTTGGTATTAAAGTGTATTTAATTCACCCCTCACAGGATTTCCTTCGAAATTATATGAATGGGGCGGGGCGGAAAGTATCGTTTGTGCAGAATATGTAAAAAAGGAGGAACTACGAGTGATTGAACTCGTGAGAGCTAATTTTCTCACAAATTTGATTTTAGACGAGTCAGTCGTTATAAGTCAGGTAACACAGTAGCGGTGGGACTTCTTCCTCCTTCTCTATGGTTGCTCATATGAGCTCTGCAGCTCGCTGCTTGCAGGCACCCTTTCGTTGTTGTTGTTGAAAGCACTCCTGCTGCTGCTGCTGCTGCTACTACTGCTGCTGCTGGACTGGACACCACCACTTACGGTGACTGAATGAGCACCGTTCAGTGGGACCGCATCGAATTCGATATTTAAGTCTGTGTTAGGGAATGCGCTGTTTTCAGACACTCGGTGATAATTTTGATCACCACTGCAACAGTTGGACATTTGGTATTTTTCAATAGTGACCTTTTAAAAATTAACTAAGTGTTCATTTTAGCAGATTCGTAGATAAATTTCCAATCGTTTGGCTTGTTTAGAATTAAAATCTATCTGCTATTGGTCGAAACCTGACCTCTTTTAGTAATGCTGTGCATTTTGTTTTTTTTTTTTAAATTGCGTGGATTCTATAGATCCTGTGGAGATCTATCTAGCCCTGATGTATGTGTTGGTAGAGGGAAAATGTAAACTTTGCGGGAGACGATGTCTTAACACTCGACAGCAATATTGTGAAATATGAAGTAAAACAAATCTTAGCTAGTTCTGCATGATGATTTTGTTTGATTTTATTTATTTGTAAAGTCGCCGGGAAATACCAGCTGGCGATTTGTTTTTTATGATAACTCCTTACTTGAAAACAGGCAAAAACTCACAAACAGGCTGCTTTTTCATGGTATACAGTGTGATAATTCAATAATCAATAAATTATTTCAACAATTAGTGGCAAACCATTCATAAATTTTGGTAACATACAAAAAATTCTATAATTCACATTAAATTTTATATGTAAGCGCCGATTGAAACAATCTTTTCGACGTCACTACAAGGGTGATTGATTAAACGAAAGAAACGAATCGTGCGGAATGCAAGCCGAGGAAAAACTAATTGCACCAATGAATTCAGGCCTACAATTTCACACCTTCTATAGACAGGTTGAGCCTTGATAGCTAGCTGCTTGCGGGAACTGATGACCTTGAACAAATTTTTGGTGGCCCTGAAAAGGACCGTTATGTAGTGATGGTTGAGTAATTCAGAGCTGGGTGTTCAACACGGATGAGGCTGTCGAGCTGTATGTCATTTGGAGCGAGGGTGACACGCTTGGCATAGATGACCGACCCGCAGCGACTCACGAAGAGCTACTGATTCCGATCCATAGCATAGCGGTGCAGCTTCTTCCTCCATTGATGATTGCTTATGCGGACTCTGCAGCTCGCTGCTTGCAGGCAGCCTTTCGTTGTTATTGGAGAACAATTTTCAACGCCACACGCCGAAAGCACTGCTACTGCTGCTACTAATTTCGACGACCGAACACCACCACACAGTGGTGTTGTTGTTGGGAGCGTGTGGTTCTGAGTATGGCGATGAGTGTGCAAAATATTACGCAATACCATCCTCCCTATTCTCACGCGCCCGACGATAGGAGGCGAATGCCACTTCGACTTGTTTCGTATTACTCTCTGACGACTGTGCTGGGGAAGCAGCATATGCATATAGGTAATTGGTGGATTTGTTAGTTAATTCGACGCTTTTGGACAATGCTGGACATTTACCAGTTTTTCAATAGTTTCTTGTTGAAAATCAACATTGCTATCGATGCGTAGCCATATTTCTGATCCATTGGTGATAAAATGATTGAAATTGGACCAGGGGCAGCTGAGCTATTTACGTTCAAAATCTTTCTTAATTTGTTACATGTTCCATTTTCGGTTTTCACAAAGTGTACCCCCATATAGAAATCAAAGACGTAGTCCTACGTCAAAAGTAAAATCTTACATTTTATCAGGTTACCAATTTCTTTTTATATGATTATTTTCAAAGTGTTTTTTTTTTGTGTTACTCCATATACCCCTATATTGAAGGGCATAGTGAACAGGTGGGAACAAATTGGTAGGTGGTAGGATCAATATCATAATGATATAGAACCTACTACCAGTTGATTTGTTTCATGCAGCTAGAGATCCTGGGCCAAACTACGGGATGCTCACTATGCCCCTTCTCCTCCTACGTGAAGTTTACGATTTTCAGAGTTCGTTGGAAATGCTACCTAACATTAAGCTTTAGTGTTATAATCTATTTGCTAGAGAAAGGTCTGAAGAGTGTAGATAGATAGTTCCGCTAGAGTACAGCCACCGGTTGGAAACTTACGATTTTAAATTGACTCACTACTTGACTAGCCTATTGGTCCCAAGCAAATCGATTAACCTACCCCATTCTAGTCAAAATTCTAGTACTACACTATCTTTGTTTAGATTCGCTATGACAGTTTGACAGATAAAATGAGGGGCTCGTGGATTTTCCTATGTTTCGAGGGATGCATTGATAAGCTTGGGACCGAAGAGAGTACCAGAGCTTGGCCAAAAAGTTGAGCACGTTTCTTCGGGATCTTCTGGTCTTAGAGTTACCTCTATGGTACAGCAGTATGAAAATGGAATGGAATTTGAAAATGAGCGAAGGGCCATTAATGCGACAATACTAGTCAAACGCACACTGCTTTACCTAACTCATCAATGGATGAGGAGATTTGAAGCGGGCCCTTCAAAGAAGGTGCTAATCAAGCCCAGCGCGTCGCAGGATGACGCCGGAAAACGAGTACTGCAAGCCAACCAGTATGCAGTACTCCCGGAAGAAAATGGCGATGGTGACGCCGCTCCCATTGCAAGAAAAGAGCGAATGCCCCCGCTTTTCACGCCGGTGAAGGATGTTGCCAAGCTAGGTGCCGAGCTGGCAAAACACAAACTGCTGCCTCGCTTCAAGCTTTGCAGCATCGGTACCAAAATCAAACAAATAGGATGTTTTCTGAAGGAAAACAACGTGGACTTCTTCACGCATGATCTGCCATCGAGCCAGCCACTGAAGGCGGTTTTGCGTGGATTACCGTCGTTCAAGGCGGCTGCGGTGAAGTCCGAGCTGGAGCGGCTTGGGATCCAACCTGAGGCTGTGTTCCAGATGAACCACCGTTCCATCAACAATACCAGCTTCCGTGACCAGTTGTTCCTGGTGCACTTCACGAAGGGATCCACCAGTCTTGCGGCTCTGAGATCCAAAATCCGGGACCTGTTTCAGGTCATCATCAGTTGGGAGCATTACAAACCCCAACATCGTGATGTTACGCAGTGTACGAACTGCCTCTCCTATGGCCATTGCACCAAAAACTGCCATATGAAGACAAACTGCGGCAAGTGTGCTGGAACTCACTCAACTGCGTCCTGTGAGCA